TGTGTGTGTGTGTGTGTGTGTGTGTGTGTGAGAGACAGCAGCAGCTACACTGGATGTTTGTTTAGCCGAGCAGACGGACCTGGGAGCCGTGAACCTCGTGGCTCTGCTGCCTGCGCGGGAATGAGAGCTCCTTTGTGTCGTCTGTGCGGGTCAGAGGTTAACAACACTCGCTCAGCCGCTTCACCCGCTTCTTCTCATTCGCTCTCATGGGGGGTTCGGACCGGTCTGTATCCCAGCATGCACCGGGCAGCAGGCACAGAAACACAGTGGGGTTGTGTTTACGTTTTCACGAGCTGCCTTTTGATTTATTCACAAGTCAAATCTCATTTGGATTCTTAAAACTTAAAGCTTCTTATTTTATTTATTTATGTCCACATGGATCAGAGTGTCTTTAGGTTTAAGTTCAGTTTATTCTAAAGCTTTTAATCAAACCACAAACAAATTCCCATTTGTTCCAAGAACTTGATTTCCTTGAAAGGTGAATTTGAAAGTGGTCATCAAGATTAGAAAAACACGAATACAGATTATTCACCATTTTTACCGTTGTTCTGCTGGTTTTAACTCGTCTCACTGAAGAATAACGAGAAGGTTTGTTCACGTCTGTATGAAAACTGACCACGGTGTAATCCCTGTGACGCGTTTATCAGCAGCCATCTTCCACTTCCATGTCCGTTATTACCCAAAATGCCTGTTTCCTGTCTCAGGGGTTTTCCCTTCACTCTCTCCACGCTGCTGGAAAACTTCTTAAACTCTCAGCGATTATCTATTATTATTATCTCGGCTCCTTTCTGAGCAATTTCATGCCACCATTGAGATACCCCCCCCCCAACATGGACCTGTGTGTGAGGCCCAGTTTCTCTCGAGGTCATTGGCGCCGCCAACATTTGACGTTTCTACATAATCGATTAACAAACTCAAACCAAACTCGGGTCCAGCAAAGTTTCCAAACTGTTTCAACGGCTCTGAAACTCTGGAGTGAGGACGAGAGGAGAGCATGAAACTACAAAAAAGAAATCCTACAAGTTACAGACATTTTACAATGAAGGAAATGTTTTATGAGAAAATGACAGAAGTTGAAGACGCACGAGAGAAATCGTTCATTACTTTACATCCTCACGAATAAAGGAGAATAATGAAGAGGACTCCTGTGAATCAGCCCGAGGCTCTGACGTGTGAAAACACACGTGAAGTCCAAACACACGTGTTTTCAGGATCATGAGTGTTTTCTTTGGTGAACATGTGAACTTTGACTCTGTGGCGTCGCTCCCTGTGAACTGTCCCGTCGCCTCTGAGGTGACGTGTGTTCACATCGTGTCACAGAGCAGAGAAACAACACGTGCTCAGATTATTTCATGTCATCCATCATGAAGAATCTAAATAAAGTTAAATGTCTGAAAACATTTAAACCTCATTTATTCTCCTGATATCTGGAAAATGTAAAAACTCAGTTTTATCTTTAAATGAACTAAAGCATCAAAATTAAGAAAATGATTCATCAGAATTTCTTTGAATCCAGATGTGAAGTTTCTAAATTTCATGTTTTGTGTTAAAAACCAATAAACCATGAATGAGACAATGTGACGTCACAGAGGAGACTTCAGATGGACACACGGATAAAAACACACATGTGACTGTTTTTTTAAATTTGATTCATGACGTATAACTTTGATTTAGTTTAAAGTTTGAGTTATGAGGTAAAAAGAAAACTTGAACTCACCATGAGCATTCCTCCCACACATGAGATGCTCGTACACCTGCAGAAGTCCCCACAGCTCCGGGTCGTTGTTCACGACTCCCTCCAGCAGCTCTGCGCTCACCGGGCTCCAGCTGACCCCGCAGCCCCGCTCCTGCTGCTCATCCTCCGCCAGCCTCGCCTCCTCCGTCGCCCTCCTGGTCACCTCCTCCGCCAGAGTCTCCAAACAGGCTGCGAGGCACACGGCCGCGTACTCGTGCACTCGCACCGACACGCGCGTGTCCACCATCCACCTGAAGAAGCGGCCCACGGACAGAGTCAGCCCGCAGCGCGCAGACTTGCCCCGCTGACGCGCGGTGTCTCCGGAGCTCATGCAGTGCTGGGACACCGCCCTCACCGCGGAGGACACGCACCGCTCGGCCAGACCCCAGCTCAGCACCAGCCTGACCGCGCTCTGCACCTCCAGGCGTGTGCACCGTCTGTGGAGCTCGCTCAGCCGCTGCGCTTCTCTGGAGACCCGCAGCAGAGCCCTCCGCAGCAGGACGGACAGGCGGTGGACAGCCTCCCCGGTGAAGGACGCACCGGACACTTTACGCACGACCTCCCGCAGCTCCCGCTCGGTCCAGGGACACTCCTCCAGCTCCGGCAGGCACGGACACTTGGCCAGGATGTCCGCCGCGTCCTCCGGGAGCGTGCTCACCGTGTCCCAGCTGCCGTTCCTGCTGTACAGAGAGCCGGCGTGCTGCCACCAGGCTCCCCGCTGAGGAGTGCTGGTGTGCGGCTGAGACTGCCCCGACCTGCCGGAGGAGGACAGGCTGAGGGACGTGCACGGGTCCCCGGGCACATAGCCTGGATCCAGGGTCAGGTCCTCCAGGGTCAGGTCCTCCAGGGTCAGGTCCTCCAGGGTCAGGTCCTCCAGGGTCAGGTCCTCCAGGGTCAGGTCCTCCAGGGTGCTCAGCTCCAGACCGCTGCACATGATGGAGGAAGAGTTTCAATGTCAGAGAAGAACCAGAACAACGTTTCCATCCAACCGGAGGAGTTTGAACCAGGAGCAGCACGAGACGGAGCCAAACCTCACCAGGTCACCAGGAGCATGGACCAATCAGAGCCCAGCTCCAGCACAGGTGACCGCTCAACAGCGCCACCGTGTGCTCACAGGTGAGACTGCCTCCTCCTCCTCCTCCTCCTCCTCATCACACATCTGGTCATAACTAAAACATAAAATCATGTTAAAGGTGGATTTCAGAGCTTCTCACAAAAATCTAAAACTGAGATGAACAAACAAACATTATTTTAATTTAATAAAATCCAAGACACCATCTGAGTTGGTTGGTTCAGTCATGATAGTCCAGAGTTTACAGATTACAGAGGTTTCTTTACAAACTAAACTCATTTAACGTAGTTCAAGAAAATATGAGAATGTTTGTTCAGATTGTGAAAAGACCAACACGAGGATCTTGATCCACCAGAGTTCAGTTTAATGATCAATCTTAAAAACACACGAGCTTCTGGTCGGGTCTGAAAATGAAACAGGTCAAGTTTCTTTTTCTCGTGATATCTTACATTTAGCACAGGTTGAGGATTGGCTTCATTTGAGCAGCCATCTTGTTTCCAGTCAAACATCTGGATGAACATTCCAACTCATTTGTGCCGCTGGTGTTTGTCTGTCCAGCTTTTGTCTTCACGTCGTCGTGTAGTTCACATTTAAACAGTCCAACTGTCCTGTTAAAAAAAAAGGCCTATGTCCACAATGCTAGCTTAGTTTAGCACACCTGCTTATGATAGCGATTAGCAGAACTAGCGTTGCTAACAGCAGCAGGACCGAAATGTTTCCCTCTGTTGGTTCTGAACACGTTGAGCTGACGAGTCGTGAGTTTGGATCATTTGAAAAAGAACCACACCAGCCGAAGCTAACACGAAGCTAACCGGCAGCCATGCTAGTCCTGCTGCGGTGTGTTCAGAGCACTCACCTGTCCAGGTGTTGCACCACCCTCACATGGCCACAGGGGGCGCTGTTACAGGTGTAGAGGTTGGTTGAGGTTTATGAAGAAGAAAATGTTAAATATTCAAAATTCTAAACGTGTATAAGAATATTGAGTCTTTATTTTGGCTCTTTAGTCTTTTTATCTTTCTGTGGCTGTGAAGAGAAGTTTCTGGATTTAACGACACTAAAGACGTTTTTCAATAAATGAGCTCAGTGTGAACCAGAATCCTTCGGTTTGTCTTGTCCCAGGATGATGCACCTGCGATGCTCCATGTTAAATGTTCAATTAATCCAATTATGAAGCAACTGATGTGAAGTGAACTCAGGCTTTTTCTGGAGCAGTTTCCTGCTGGTGACAGATTTTATTTAGAACCTTAAGAGAAGGTGAGAGAAAAGTACCAGGTGATCACTGGACGTAGAAGAGTTTTCTGTGAATGTCCAGGTCAACAGAAGAAGAACAGAGTCAAGATTGAAATCACTTTAAAATGAATAAAATCTAAAACCAGTGCTCTGTTAAAAAATAAAAAAAAGAGTAAGAATCACACAAACAGTCAAGGAAGATAAAAGTTGTATTGTTTCATCTCCAGGTTTTCATCGAGCTCTTCAAAGTCCCGGGGAAAGTTTCTACTTGTTTCAACGTACAATAAAACTGTTGAATGTTTAACTTGAGCACAAACCATCTGGAGTTTCATCACTGAAGTTCAGTCAAACGTCATAAAAAGCCAAAACATATTCACAGAATTCAAAGTTATGGCTTCAAATCACAAGATTCTTCGAACTGATTTTCTGATCTAAAAGTTCAAAACATTTCAAGTCTCCTCTAAGGAAAGACATGCTTTACCTAAACTGACCACAAGATGTCGATCTCTGACTATTTCTAAGCACAAAGCTGAGTTTTCTTCTCTGAATGAGAAACTCTTCTACAATACTGAACTCTCTAAACACAACGTCAACAGAAGCGTCTACTTCCTGCTGAGTTTCTTTAGGATTGAAAACTACGTTTATCTTCTAAAGCACCTCGGTGGAAAAGCAGAAGATACTCCGGGTCTGGAAAAGAACCTTTCCACAAGAGGACAAAACAATAAATTACTGAGCTGGAGATCCACGTGTCTAAAATGAGCTCAATAGGTTTGGATGTGTACAATCATAACAGTGAGCCAGCTCACCATGTCAGAGGCTTCAGTGTTCAGCTCAAAGTCTTTTTCTGTCCCTCACGTCCGGTCAGATCCTCTCAGTCCCTCTGTTGCTGTGCACGTACGTCACACACATGAACTGAAGCCGATACAAGTAAGGCATCGAGACGTTAGTACAAAAAATAAAACTGTAACTCTGCTAACAAACGTTTTCAAAAGGCCGAGCAAGCATTCTGTTCTCTGACGAGACATTACAAAACTAGGAGCGTGTTTTTTTTTTTATTGTAAAGGGTGATGCCTCTTCACGTGTCTCAGCTCCCAGGTAACAGAACGTTTGATCGAAGCAGCGTCCGTCGTCTCCTCGCAGATCTCAGAGTCTGGGAACGAGCACAGATCTTCACGAATCACACACTTTGTGCATGAGCAGTGGGAGGAAGTGTTGAACAGAGGAATATGTAGTGGAGGGTTGAGCTGTGAATGAAACCTGGTTTGTACAGGAACCTGTTGTTCTGTTCTGACACCAGCTGCAGGTTTAGATTTAATAAAAGAATGAAAAAAAAAAAACCAAAGCAGTAAACGTAGAGAATCCCTGACTCCACAAGACTTACTACACTTCCCACAATGCAACTTTTTAGCCCAAATTTACCTGGAAATCACTAGAGACTTTAAATAATGATGGACGACATGACGGCTGAAGTTAAAGGTTCTCAATCGCCCCCTGGTGGCTGGATGAATAGTTCCTACACTTCTATACTAGTAAAGAGCAGTTATTGCTCGACACAGATGATCCGACTGATAATTCTGTTCTCCACTAAAACTGACACGTGATCAAATAAACAGAGTTAGAACCTCGTGAATAAATCATTGCGTGTTGTGGTTTCATGAAACATCAGGCGTCTGGTTTTCCTCTGTTAATGAACTCGAGTTTCTCTTCGGCAGCTCGACCAGAAAACCGTCCTCCGCCGCCTCCACTGCCGACAGACTCCCAGAGTGAGCCAGGACCGAACCTGGAGACGCCACCTGGACTGCAGGAGCTGAAAGAGTCCGTGGGACGCCGTGGGAGGAGTGGTCAGCGCTGACGGCTGCAGAAGAGTCAGACGAGAGCGTATCTGCGATCTGCCGAGCTGTGGCAGCTGCTGCATCCGGTTGCATTTCATCCCCATCACGATCCGGCAGTGACAGCTGATCCGTCGTGACCAGTGTTCGGCTGCCCGGGGGCTGATAAGGCGGCGGCCCCATCAGAGGGGAGCCATCGGGGGTGAGCGGCACCTGGCTGTGGATGATGATGGGGTCCGGGGAGGGTAGTGGAGCCTCCTCTGCAGCATCGAGGTCCCTGGGGTCCTTGGAGGGGCTCTGGTCGGGGGAGATGGTGTCGGGCTGGTGGGAGATGATGTGGAGGCTCAGTCCAGCTCTGGGGAAGCTGCTGGCGGAGGACGTCTTCACTCTGACCGGACTGAGCAGCAGCGGCAGCTCCTGGCCCAGAGGCTTCCGAGGCAACTCGTCGGGCTTCCCTGAAAACAACAGATACGATCACACAAGTCGTTTAGGTTTTTACTTAATGGAGACGATGAATCAGTTTCAGCTCAACCCACTGTGACATCACTCATTGGTTTGTCAGCTCCTGTTCTGAAGCCTCAGCGCCATCTTGTTTTTTTAAACCAGAAGTAACCATATTAGGAGGAGCGGTTTCTTCCTCACTGGCTTCAGTTTCTGGACCCGGAGTCTACAAACATTTTTATAAACAGTCGGTAAAGAAAGAACAGATTCCTGGATCCGCCCCCTGATTTGACCCACATCACGTCACCGAGTTAGAATCTGCTCACGAGTAAAAACAGAACCTTTGTGACGGAGGTAATGAATTTGCCTCGCCTGTTTTCTTACCATGTGAAAAGTTTGCATGATACGATGGAATGTTCACACGTTAAAACATGATTATCACGTAGTCTGAGGACGGAAGTGGTTTTAGATACAGTGACTCAGCTTCACGTACCTGGAGGAGGAAGGTCCAGCTTCATTTTTCTCAGTTCAGACATGGAGGCCTGAAGCTGCTCCACGATCACGTCGTCGCTGTAGAAGAACGTCTGAGCGATTCTCTCCTGCAGAAACTCCCTGAGCTCCTCCAGCGACATCTTCACCAGACGTTCTGCACAAACAGTGTTATTAACTTCTGTGTGTGTTTCTGATTCGGATGTTCACCAACAGAACAACAATGAGGAACATTAATATCACAGAGGCAACGATCTCAGAGGCTTTACAGGGTTTATACAGTTTTTTAAAAGAGTTCAAATGAGCCATGACTTTGTCTTCAGAGGATAAATCCAAAAGTCTGGACTTTCAACTGAACTTTGAAAAGTTTGTTAAAAAGACAGAACGATTGAAAATAACTTTGACAGAAACAAAGGAAAAGAGTTTATAAAAAAAATGTTGTGCTGCTGCTGTAAATTAACTGTCGCTGTCGTTAATCTGTCGGAGGCTGATGAGTATTTGCATGAACTTTGTATGTTTTGACCTTTGGAACAATAACTCCTAAAGTGTGACATTGAGAATTGTTTTTAAAATGTATTTGATGTCAGGAAATCATCTTGTGATCCTCTTTCTTCGTCTGGTCGCCGGCCAGCGGGTCTGGACCCTTAGTTTGGGAACCGCTGATGTAAAATATTCAGCGGGGTTGTTATTAACAGCCTGAGCAGATGATTTATGTGTTTGTGTGGAACGTGTGGTCGTCTCTCACTCCGGTGGATCTTCAGGACGTTGTAGGACATGGCTGTGAGCAGCTTCTCTCCCTCCAGGATGAAAATGTCCCACAGGCGAAGGGTCAGGGTGAACGGCGTCTGCAGGACACACACAACAAGTCACCACATTACTGCGACTTATCTCGACGTGTTCGTGCCGGAGGTTGCACATACATGCAGCTCTCTGTCCTGGCCGGAGTCAGGAGGTTTGTTTGGTTCTTTCCCAGACCTCAGGGGCCCCCGAGGCCCCTCTGAGCCGAGCAGGGAAGTGCTGACAGCGGCCGAACGCTGCCAGACCACCACCACAGGATTGTGGGCAGAGGAGACTAATGGCAGTTCAGCCTAACAGCTCTTAATGCTCTAATGTAACACCCCAGGGCTCAGATATCAGCAGCAACCTTTTCTGCTGAAAGCACGAAAAGATAATTGACAGTTTTCTTGTGTCAGTGTTTCCTGGTAAAACTTGCAGTTGTGTTTTTAGGCTGAACTCATAATAATCTGATCAAGACAGTTTAGCTTCACTTTTAGAGACTCGTCACGTCGCCCGGCTTTTTTTTTTTTACAGTCCACGGTGTTTGCCAGTTAAAGATGATCTTAGGAAAGCTGCATTATGGGAAGTGTAGTTCGTTTGTTTGGAGCTTGAATATCACATGATGTGCGCCCTCACTTATCGGATGGCAGGTCGCCCTGTTGGACCCTTTTCCTCTGGAGAATTAGCGCCACCTGCTGCTCTTAAAATTCTGCTCATCCTTCAGATACTTTCACATCTGGATGGAAACTACACAGAGTGAAATGAGAAGTGGATGAAGATGAGAAAACATGAATCAGGCAGGTTCCTCACCCGGTCAATGAAACACTGTAGGAACCATTTAGTGCAGTAAATCCCTGCAGACATCTGCTCCCTGTCCTGCAGAGAGAGAAGAGAGGATCAGTGAGCGGCAGAAACTCACATCAGACGTCGTCACAAGCAGAATTCTCGCTGCTGTGGATTCATCTTCGCTCTTTGTTATGAAACTCTTGTGTAACTGTGACCTCACCAGATGTTTCTTCAGTTTGGGGATGAGTTTGGAAATAATCTGATCGTGATGCGTCTGGAATCGCTGGAGTTTGGGAAACCCGGGTACAAAAAAGCCTTTAGAAAAAAAAACAGACACTTTTAATCTCACGTAATAAAAAATCTGAACCAGGCCTGAGAGGCCGTGACCAGGCAGCGGCGTTCATGAGGTTCAGATGAGTTCAGCTCACCGTGCATGCCGTGTTTGTGATTGGTCAGCAGCTGTGACAGGGCCCAGAAGGCGTCCTCCTCGTTCATGAACATGAGCAGCAGGGCGGCGATCTGACTCATCCCCTGGCAGTAGCTCACCTCCTGCAGGCGGCAGAAAACAACAGCACGTTATCGTCCAACACGTCCTGAAAAACTAGCGTCACTCCCATCAGCTTTACTGCTAATTAGCAAAAATCTGCATGCTAACGTTACAAAATCAGTTTTTTTTGTGTGCTGATATTTTCAGAAATAATGTGTTTGTTGTTCTGTATTGTGATAATGTAATAATCTATT